ACCTTGAAGTGTAAACTTGTTTAATAAACCATATCTTTCATTTTCGATTTTTAATTCACGTAGTCCGGGAACTTTCCGGACAAACTGTGTACACACGGATGCCAGTGCGCGGGGCATAGCTGCGATATTATTACAAAAGCAAAGTAAGGGCCAATGGGCACCTATAGCTTACTTCAGCCAGAACACGAACAAGGCGGAGGAAAAATATCATAGCTTTGAGCTCGAAATGCTCGCAATAGTAAAATCNGTGGAACGATTCCATTTGTATTTATATGGGAAAGCCTTTACAATAGTGACTGATTGTAATGCCCTTGTTTACGCGGTAAACAANGCGAATTTAAATCCGCGAATAGCCAGGTGGATTCTGCGTTTACAAAACTATAAATTTGAGTTAAAACATAGGGCAGGTAATAAAATGGCTCATGTTGATGCCTTAAGTAGGCAAATNTGTCTAATTCAATCTTTGCCGTTAGAGCGTGAATTGGAGTTTAAACAGCTACAAGATNCGCGATTAAAATCGATAGCTCATGAATTAGAATTTGCGGATAANGAAAAGTTTGCATTAGTCGACGGCTTGGTTTTTAAAAAAAGCGAAGATAAATCTCGTTTTGTCGTACCGGATGACATGATAAATAACATTTTGAGAACTTACCACGATGAGATGGCGCATTGCGGGGCCGAGAAAACTTTCAATAATATTTACGCTAATTACTGGTTCCCGTCGATGCGCAAAAAGATCCACGATTATATATCTAATTGTTTAACATGTCTGTCGGCAAATACTTCGACTCACTCGAAGGAGGGGGAGATGCANATTGACGACATGGAAATTTTGCCATTCTATACGTTGCATGTCGATCACTTTGGCCCTCTCCCTGAAACCGATGACGGTTATAAGCACATCNTTGTCGTAGTAGACGCTTTTACACGCTTCACGTGGATATTTCCGACTAGGTCAACGGGATCTAAAAAAGTAATTAGATGGTTATCGTTGTTATTAGATATGTTCGGAAATCCTAAAAGGCTTGTTTCNGATCGCGGTACGGCATTCTCATCGAAAGAGTTCGCTTCATTTATAGAGTCGCGACGGATAAAACATCGTTTGATCGCGGTAGCAGCNCCATGGGCTAACGGGCTAGTAGAACGAGTTAACAGGTTCTTAAAAGCTACTTTGAAAAAATTGGTTAAGGAACCAAGCGACTGGAAGTCTCACTTAGGAACAGCGCAGTATGTTCTTAATAATACTCTACACGCCAGTATAAAAATGTCTCCCGCTAAATTATTTTTAGGGTTCGATTTAAGAAACCAAACTGATATCANATTGATTGACCTATTCGAATCATTAATTGATGTAACACACGATCTAGAGAAGGAAAGATTAGATCGTAGGAATATTGCATTAGAAACTACAGAAAAGATCAGACGGTATAATAAGACGATTTATGACAAGGCGCATAAATCNCCGTCCAGATATCAGGTTGGAGACTATATTTTGGTGAGAGATACGCAAATAAAGCCTGGCGAGAGTANGAAACTTAAACCTACCTACAAAGGTCCGTACATGATATCAAAATTATTAGAAAAAAATAGATTCGTGGTGCAGGATATACCAGGATTTAACTTGACCGCTAAACCGTATAATACGGTGTTATCGCCAGATCGAATCAAACCATGGATAAAACCTGTTGTAAATAAAGAGGATTAATAAATGTTAAAAGCGGTTTACCTGAAAAAAAATAGTATTAAGGTCCTTGCTAAATGTATATATAAAAGAAAAAAAAATAAAATGCACATAAGGACTGCGTAAGGCGTTATGTACAACGCGTGCGATTGATATTATTTTTAATAGTTAATAAGTTAAGCATTAAAATTGTTACAGGTGATGGGTAAATGGAAAAAAAAAAAAAAAAAAAAAAAAAAAACAAAGTGTATTGCGAAAAATTATTATTATTATTATTATTATTCTTATTTTTATTGTGTTCATTAGCCGTTACGCCATCGGGACGAATGGCAATGACAGGATGGTCGAGCTGTAAGAAATAAATGAGATTAGCAGTTGGAATCAGCTGTTCGCGCGCACATACGCGTGTCACGCTCATTTAGCGTGATCATTATACAGGCAAACAGCACTCGCTGGTGATCGGGCTTGCCGATCATTCCCGATTCAGGACCAGAGANTGCCGGCGAATCTGCGGCAGGATTCATTCGACTTGGAGCAGCCAGGACCTGCAATTCCTAGGCAGCTAGTATAACCGCGCATCTAAGTTCTGTATATCAGTGATATTAAATAAAAGTGTTATAAGCACCTTGATCTACATATTAAATAAAAGTGTACTGTTTAATACCCGTCACTAGAACACTGTTTCCTTACAGTATATAAAATAATTTATTTTAATATTGCGCTATGCGCATACAACACACTTTTTTAAAACGTTAACTAAAACGTGTGTTGAACATAAAAGAGCACCCCGATTGTTAATGCTTGCTATTGCGATGCTCGAGAGCGACTATTAAATGAGCGAGACACGTTGTCTTAGCGACTGATTCATTCAGGAGCTTGTGTTTGACTCCCATATGAGCGAGACACGTTATCCTAGCAACCGACTCATTCAAAAGCTTGTATTCGACTGACTCTCGGCGCGCTCGGACTCTACGCAAAAGTTCGCTCTCCTTCCAGACGCTTGCGCATGACGCACTTCTCTTTTAGGCGTAAACTCTCCTGGAAGTGAACAATCTCAATGAGAGTCGTTGATTTAACAATAAATTAACGGTACAGACGGCGTCATTAATTCGAAGAATAGGCGCGGGGATCACATAAAAAATCCAGTTGATCTAAATATCCAGTAGTCCCAAAATCGGGTGTCCAGTTGTGGACACCCGATTGCTACTAGTTAGTTAGTACGGCGCCCGTTGGCGCTACGAGCAACCGCCCCGCTTGCCCTCCGATCCCCGCGCCTATTCTTCGAATTAATGACGCCGTCTGTACATAAAGACATAATGAATGAAGTACTTGACAATTTCAACTCAGTACATCAAAGACTGCAATTTACTTATGAACTCCAGTTTAATAACAGTATCAGTTTCTTAGACATCCGCATCATCGTGGAAAAAAATGCATTGACTTGTGACTGGTATCAGAAGCCAACGTATTCAGGAAAATACCTAAATTTTTTGTCTCAAAATCTTTTATGCCACAAGATCGGTACAATAAATACTCTGGTAGATAGAGCGCTGCTACTGTCGGATCCTACGTTTTATCTAAAAAACTTAAAATTATGTATCAATATCCTCATAGCCAACCAATATCCTATAGATATAATATTTAAAACCATTAACAAACGTCTGAAAACATTATTTAATACAAAACTTAATCACACAACTAACAGTGACAGTGACACACACTCGACAGACGATGCTAAATACTTTTTACTTCCATTTGTCGATGAACAATCCAACACTCTCTCTAGCTCTTTAAATAAAATGAAAATTAGGTTAGCATATAAAAACGGGTGATACTCTATTGACCACAGTACGATTCGACACCGCTCGATTCGATACAGATTTATTCGACACGAAATTATTCGACACCGTACGATTCGACACGAAATTATTCGACACCGTACGATTCGACACGAAATTATTCG